CTTCCTGGCTGCTTCCTGGCTGCTTCCTGGCTGCTTCCTGGCTACTTCCTGGCTGCTTCCTGGCTGCTTCCTGGCTGCCTCCTGGCTGCTTCCTGGCTGCTTCCTGGCTACTTCCTGGCTGCTTCCTGGCTGCTTCCTGGCTGCCTCCTGGCTGCTTCCTGGCTACTTCCTGACTACTTCCTGGCTACTTCCTGGCTTCTTCCTGGCTACTTCCTGGCTGCTTCCTGGCTACTTCCTGGCTACTTCCTGGATGCCTCCTGGCTGCTTCCTGGCTACTTCCTGACTGCCTGCTGGCTGCTTCCTGGCTACTTCCTGGCTGCCTTCTGGCTGCCTCCTGGCTACTTCCTGGGTTCTTCCTGGCTGCCTCCTGGCTGCTTCCTGGCTGCCTCCTGGCTACTTCCTGGCTGCTTCCTGGCTACTTCCTGGATGCCTCCTGGCTGCTTCCTGGCTACTTCCTGACTGCCTGCTGGCTGCTTCCTGGCTGCTTCCTGGCTACTTCCTGGCTGCTTCCTGGCTGCTTCCTGGCTACTTCCTGGGTTCTTCCTGGCTGCTTCCTGACTGCCTCCTGGCTCCTTCCTGGCTACTTCCTGGCTGCTTCCTGGCTGCCTCCTGCCTGCTTCCTGGCTGCTTCCTGACTACTTCCTGGCTGCTTCCTGGCTACTTCCTGGCTGCTTCCTTGCTACTTCCTGGCTGCCTTCTGCTGCCTCCTGGCTACTTCCTGGGTTCTTCCTGGCTGCCTCCTGGCTGCTTCCTGGCTGCCTCCTGGCTCCTTCCTGGCTGCTTCCTTGCTACTTCATGGCTGCTTCCTGGCTGCCTCCTGGCTGCCTCCTTCCTGGCTGCTTCCTTGCTACTTCCTGGCTGCCTACTTCCTGGCTGATTCCTTGCTACTTCCTGGCTGCCTCCTTCTTGGCAGCTTCCTTGCTACTTCCTGGCTGCCTTCTGGCTGCCTCATGGCTGCTTCCTGGCTACTTCCTGGCTGCCTTCTGCCTGCTTCCTGGCTGCCTCCTGGCTGCTTCCTGGCTGCCTCCTGGCTGCTTCCTTGCTACTTCCTGGCTGCCTCCTTCCTGGCTGCTTCCTTGCTACTTCCTGGCTGCCTACTTCCTGGCTGCTTCCTTGCTACTTCCTGGCTGCCTCCTTCTTGGCAGCTTCCTTGCTACTTCATGGCTGCCTTCTGGCTGCCTCCTGGCTGCTTCCTGGCTGCCTCCTGGATGCTTCCTGGCTACTTCCTGGCTGCTTCCTTGCTACTTCCTGGCTGCCTCCTTCTTGGCTGCTTCCTTGCTACTTCCTGGCTGCCTCCTGGCTACTTCCTGGCTGCCTCCTGGCTGCTTCCTGGCTGCTTCCTGGCTGCTTCCTGGCTAGAGGAGAAATGGCTCCATTCGTCTTAGATCCCAGCTGGCGGTCAGCTATCAGCTGGACGTTAAGCTTCCATTGTAGCGTCGGGCGGATGCGTCTGAGGATCAGAGAACGTGACGCTGCTTGTTTTCAGGAAAGGAAGCAGAAGGTTGATGTTTTCCTCTGATGTTTCCTGCAGGAGAACATGGAGAAGCAGAACCAGCACGCCAAAGGTCTGGCTGAGAAGCTGTGGCTGGCAGAGAGGCAGATCGAGGAGATGGAGGTGGACAAAGAAACCCGAGACAAGAGGACAGCTGATCTCAACAGCACCATCCTCAGGCTGGAGGAGGAGGTACAGGAGCGCTCTCAGGCTGCAGCTCCGAGTCCTGCAGGACAGCTGCTGATCTTCTGGATGTTTTTAGCTCGGCGAGGCGCTGCAGATCTCCACCCAGAGCTCGGCAGAACTGAACCTGCAGCACAAGCTGCGTGAGGACGCCCAGAACCGAGTGGATGAGCTGGAGGAGCTGATTCTGGAGAAGGACCAGGAGATCCAGAGGCTGGAGCTAACAGTCAGCAAACTGCAGGGAGAGGTCAGTGGAGGTCATAGCAGGGGGGGGCGCGACCGTCCCGCCGGAGCTTCAGGTTCTCCGTGGGTTTCTGTCTGGGTCCAGGTCTCTGGAAAGCTGATCGATAAGGAGCGCAGCCTGGAGGACGAGATCCAGCTGAGGGAGCGGCTGCAGCTGCAGGTCCGGCAGGCGGAGAGGACGGTGGACGACCTGACCCTGGAGCTGCAGGCCACCAACCACACCAAGGACGACCTGACCAAGCAGCTGAAAACCGCTCAGGTACCAGAAGACTAACAATCTTTAAATATAATTTGAGTTAATCTCCCATTTTAAGAACATTTCCTTTAAAAAGTTTGTTTTTATCCCTGAATGAAAGCCTGACTGCGTGAAGGAGCCTCCAGTTGATCAGAATGTGAACCATCAGTTTGGCTTAATGCCTCATTAATGCCTCATTAATGCCTCATTAATGAGGCATTAATGAGGCATTAATGAGGCATTAATGAGGCATTAATGAGGCTAATCCTGTTTAACGATCAGCTGCTTTACCCTGAAAACACCCCTTCCTGTAACTTCTAGAATAAACTGAAGCAGTTTGTTTTTAACCACTAACAGGAGAAGCTGATCGACCTGGAGAGCGAACTGGAGGAGCTGCAGGACAGCGAGCGGCGGTGGGCCGCCAAGCAGAAGAAGGCCATCGAGCAGGTAGGAGATGTTCGCCGAGGAGAAGAACCATCTGGACCAGAACCGGGCCTTTAACCTGTCCGCCTCCGCTTTCAGACCGAGCAGCTGCAGCTTAAGCTGATTCAGGAGAAAGATCTGAGCGACCAGCTGGAGATGGAGAAGACTTTCATGGAGAGACAGGTAACCCCCCCAGAGGCGTCGGCAGCGTTCGCCGTCCCCGCTGGCATGATGGAAGCTGCATTAATGTCTGGATCTGTCCGTGCAGATCAGAGACCTTCGCCTGCAGGTGGAGGACCTGGAGAGCTCCAGGGTCCAGGAGGACGTGGTCTCCCGAGCCGAGACCCGGTCCAAGGAGCTGGAGAGCGCTCTGAGAGCGGAGGAGAGGTGAGTCCGATTCCAGACAGACACGCGGAGCTGGAGACGCCCTGCAGACCGTCATGGCTGCTTCCATGTTTCTGCAGGAACAAAGCAAATCTGAGCAACACCATCAGTAAACTGGAGAGGAAGATCAACGAGCTGAACGACCAGATGGAGGAGGAGCAGCGGATCGCCACCGAGCAGAAGGAGCTGGTAAGACGCTGCTGCAGGGTTCCTCCACTGGGGGGCAGCAGAGCGCCGAACCCCTCTGGTTTCTAGATGAACTGCTTCCTGGTTCTTCCTCCCACTTTTTAAATCAGTCACACTTTAAAACAAAAAGAAATGGCAGAACTGACCCAGCTGGTTCTCCTGGTTCTGCAGATGAACCAGAGGATCCGGACCCTGAAGCGGCAGCTCAACGAGGTGGAGGAGGAGGCCACCAGGAAGGAGGCGCAGTTCCGCCACCTCCAGAGGGAGCTGACCGAGGAGAGGGAGACGAGCAGCCGCCTGCAGAGGCAGCTGATGGACCAGCACCTCCAGAGCAAGTAAGGCGGAACGGCATGGCCGGTTCTAGACGGGGGCCAACGGGGGCCAGGGCCCCTGTAGATCCTGTCCTGGTCCCCGTTTCTACCGAAGACATAATACTCAAAGAAATTCTAACGATGATCTGCGCTGGAACACGGTTACTGATAGCTCCTTTGGATCTATTTCATTTTTTTCTTGAAAAAAATTCAGTTTTACTAATTATTTTTTAAAAACAGGTGATAGCTTCAGTGCTAATGAGGTAGGATGCTAGTTTTCATCTGATAAATGTTTTTAAAAAAACAAATAAAAGCAAATATATAAATTTTTCCTGCTGAATTTATCAGTTTTTTTTTTTAGTTCTCATTCTGATTTCACATGTAGAGGCATAGACAGGTATGGGGCATTGCAGGCTAACAGAGAACCCAAACGACCCCCATTCCAAAGGGGGGGACCCGTTCATCCGTTTCTATTTGCATGTTTTCTAAACTAAAACCAGGCTTTGTTGGGCTGCTGGATAAAACCTGGAACTAAACGCTATTTCTGACATTTTGGATTGAAAAAGCTTCCTGGATGGAAGAGAAACGTCTTCAGACTTTTTTGAAATAACCTGGATGACTGAGAATCTTCAGCAGCGTATCTCAGCATGCCGCCATCTTTATCTCTAGGAAGCCTCTCTGTGAGATGAAGGACTTTAGATATTTAAACTCCAATCGACTGGACATAGCCACTGGTTTCCTCCCAGTCTGACTCCATCATTCTTACACTGTTAAAACAAAACGCCGTTTCTAAGATGTCTGTTTTGTGGTTTAAACATGATAAAACCAGGAAAATGAGAATATATGTTGGTTTTTTTCAGCTTCAGACTGAGAAATGTGAAATGAATGAAGCTTTCCGTGTTTCTACCAGACGTAAGGAGAACCTGAGCATCCGGCAGACCCTGGACAACCTGCGGCTGGATCTGAGTGCGGACGAAGACGAGGAGGAAGAGCTGCCAGCGAACGATCCGCCAAGCAGCGTGACTAACGTCTGATGGTTCTCAGGAGGATTGGAGTTTAGCAGGAGCTCTGCAGCAGAGCCCACCTTCATCCGGTGGGAAACCATCCCGCGCGTCTGGGAATTCGTTCAACACTTTAAACTGGAATTCATTCAAATGTTTGATGAAATTTGGTGCTCGGTTTGTAGCAAACAGGTTATTTTTTTATCTTCCGGTGGTTTCTGCCATGAAACGACTCCAAACGTACAGGTTAGCCCCGTAATCAGGACTCCATATAAAAGAATGTCTCCCTCTGCTGGCTAAAGTTGAGAACTACCCCCACCTGTGGCTCCAGCTGCTGTTTTCTTTCACCTGTTTCTGGGAGCAGGAATTTCTGTGGCCTGATAGATAAAATAAGCTTTAAACATTCAGATGACACGTTTATTTTCTGTAAAGGAACAAATGCATCTGCAGTATTTTGTCTAAGATGTTTTACAGCGTCTCCGTGGGATACCGAGGGATTTGATCGCGGCTATTTTCAACTCAATCACAAGAGAGATTATTTATACATGTATTGTTTTTAAAGATAAAGTCTTTGTGGGACGTCTTTGTTTTTATTTTGCTGCTGCGTCGATGTAACTGTCTGTCCGTCTGTCTGTCCGTCTGTAGAGGAGTTCTTCCAGAGGTGGAGATTATATGAACATTTAATCTGGGGGGGCGGTGCCAAACATTCAGATTACCAGTTTACTCCCATCTCTATTGAGCACGTTTAAAGTGAGGAAATCATTTTTAAAGCACGGAGGGGATTTTTACTGAACCGTGTTCTACTAACAGCCTTTTTTAAAACTGTGGTAAAATCACCTGTTTGTAAAAAAAAAGAAAAAAAAAAAGAGGAAATTGTTGGTTTATTGAAATAAACCTAAAACATTTTTACCGTGTTTACAATGTTTTCTTGTTTTAAACGAGCACAACATGAGGTTAGAAATCAAATGTCACACTTTTTGTTTTACACTTTGTCTTAAAGCTAAAACTATTTTCTGTCAGAGTGGGTATTTATTTTCAGCCCTTGGTGCAAACTAACATTAAAGTCTTCAAACCGTTGACATGTGATGTGTGTCGTCATTGACTACCAAACATCACTTTTCAGCCTCTTGACTTTTAAAGGTTTGTAAGCAGCTCTAAGCGATTGATTCAATTCTATTCTATTCAGTTTATTTCTATAGCTCCAATTCACACCA